TCCGTGGAATACGACCCACCAAATCGTTTAACAGCCAGGTACCCATTCACTGCTGGGTGAACACAGGCTACAGTTAAGGATTGACGCCTAGTCAATCCTTCCAGGCCCAGGATGCGAACCCAGGCCAAAGCGCTGGCGAAAAGCCAGGCGAGTATGTTACCACTTCACCACGAGGACTGCTAGATTCTACCCACAAACTTGTTAACTCGACTTTACTTGCCCAGGACCCTCTTATAAGTAGTTCTCAGTTCACCCTATACCTTCATGTTGACCAGACCACACACTAGAAGGTGAAGGGACGACGACGTTTCGGTCCGTCCTTGGACCATTCTCAAATCGATTGTGAGACTTGAGAATGGTCCAGGACGGACCGAAACGTCGTCGTCCCTTCACCTTCTAGTGTGTGGTCTGGTCAACATTCTTCAGCCACGTTATTGTGACTCATCGCCTGTATACCTTCATGTTAACACCAAGTTCATCACTGATCCAAGTACCTCGTGTTTACCCACGAGTCCGCCCGCGCAAGAACCAACAGTTAACAACACATTCTACACAAGTATTCACTGTTAATACAATGTTGTATACTCGTCAACAAGCCTCATGTTAACTAACATTAATCTCATGTTTAGTGTAAGTACTACACTAACGGAACGCATCCACTTCCACCCCCAAAGAGTGGCAGTTCTACTACAATTCTCACAAACCCTGTTCTGCTGTTATTAAAAATAACTCGTGCAAACTGTCCCTGTTCTTCATTCCGAAGAACCTATTGGTTAAGCCGGTGTGTGGTCAATACTCCCTCGACTGGATACATGTAAAGGACGCGTTTCACCGTCCGTCAGCGACATGCGTCAGGGCCAATAACATTGTGAAACGACCTTTTAAGAGTTGACTTTTCAACTGCCTTTCCGAGTGAAGAACAAATGGGAAATATAGAGAAAATTCGTGCTAGTCATCATCTAACCCCCAGTCATGTTCACACACACACACACACACACACACACACACACACACACACACACACACACACACACACACACACACACACACGTGTGTGTGTGTGGCTAGTGAAACATTACTAATGGAACATCTGGGGCGAAAAAACTTTGTAACACAACATCAACATGGGTTCAGGAATGGTTGGTCCTGCCTCACAGGATTAATTGAATTCTACGACCAGGCAACAAAAATCAGGCAAGAAAGAGGGGTGGCAGACTGCATATTTTTGGATAGCCACAAAGCCCTTGATACAGTACCACGCACACAAGAGACTATGGAACTATGGAAGTGCACAAGCTGGAGATGCAGGCAGGAGTGAAAGTGAAGGTACTACTACATTGGATAAGGGAGTATCTTAGCAACAGAAGACAGCGAGTCACTGTGAGAGCTGAGGTCTGAGAGTGGCAAGGTGTCAACAGAGGAGTCCCACAGGGATCAGTTCTTGGACTTGTACTGTTTCTGATATGTAAATGATCTCCCAGAGGGAATAGACTCGTTCCTCTCAAAGTTTGCTGATGGTGCAAAAATTATGAGGAGGATTAAGGCTGATGAAGATAGAATGAGGCTACACGATGACCTAGACAAACTGAAGGAATGATCCAACAAATGGCTACTAAAGTTCAGCCCAAGTAAATGTAAGGTAATGAAACTAGACGGAGGAAACAGGAGGCCAGACACAGGATATCGAGTGGGAAATGAAGTCCTTCATGAAATGGATAGAAAGATCTAGGAGTTGATATCACGCCAAACCTCTCTCCTGATGCCCACATCAAAAGAATAACATCGGCGGCGTATGCGAGGCTGATTAACATCAGAACTGCCTTCAGGAACCTGTGTAAGGAATCATTCAGAATCTTGTATACCACACATGAAAGACCAATCCTGGAGTATGCGGCCCCAGCATGGAGCCCGTACCTTGTCAAGCACAAGACGAAGTTGGAAAAAGTAAAGAGGTATGCCACTAGGCTAGTTCCAGAACTAAGAGGCATGAGTTACGAGGAAAGGCTGCGGGAAATGCACTTCACGTCGCTGGAAGACAGAAGAGTAAGGGGAGACATGATCACTACCTACAAAATTCTCAGAGGAATTGACAGGGTAGATAAGGATAAACTGTTTAACACTCGTGGTACGTGAACAAGGGGACACAGGTGGAAACTGAGTACCCAATGAGCCACAGGGACGTAAGAAAGAGCTTTTCAGTGTCAGAGTAGTTAATAGATGGAATGCATTAGGCAGTGATGTGGTGGAGGCTGACTCCATACACAGTTTCAAGTGTAGATATGATAGAGCCCAATGGGCTCAGGAATCTGTACACCAGTTGATTGACGGTTGAGAGGCGGGACCGAAGAGCCAGAGCTCAACTCCCGCAAGCATAACTAGGTAAGTACACACACATACACACACGGCCTCGCGGCTGAGTGGATAGCGCCTGTGGGTCGTAATCCTAATTAATGGCCAGGGTTCGATTCCTGGTGGAGACGGAAACAAGTGGGAAGAGCTTCTTTCACCCTGACGCCCCTGTTCTAGTAAATAGGTACCTGGAAGATAGACAGCTGCTACGGGCAGCTTCCTGGGAATGTGTGTGTGTATGCGTGTGATATAAATAGTAGATATGAGTAAAGAAAATAGGTCTGGAATCAGTACATTAGACAATCGAAGGTTAGGAAAGTCCCTATAGGTACAAATAGTAAATACACACACATTCTGTCAATGTAATGAGAGCACATCAAGGGGAAACATTAGTAAATGTGAACAGAAAGCAAAATGGTAACATTTCGGTGGGTTACAGACCTGTATCAAGTTGTGACACCAACTTATAATGGTCCAGGACGGAACGAAACGTCGACACGTTATTTTTCTCTTTGAGTGTGGTTTAGGTTACTAATTTTAAATCGTATTATTGTTAATTACTATCCGCGTTAGTAAGTAGAGCAGCAACATCAAGACTAAGCAGCGTTTCCCCGTTGACGTTATTCTCTCTTTCCTTAGAAGACGTCTGAGGACAATCTTCGACTCCCGCCTCCTACTGATGTCTTCCTCGATCTCATTATAATTTCATTCCGTGATAGGCTTTCGCAACATCGAGTGTGCGATATGTTGTCTATATTCCATGAAGATTTTTTTTTTCATAAATTTCACTGTACCTATAAAAAAAATGTTACAAAGAATGCGTTCGATGCTGAACTTGGGGTTCCTTACTACGTACATCAGACGGGGCTGCGGTAGTCTCCCTGCAATTGTTATTCATTTGAAATATACATTTTACTACTGTCCAACCACTTGGACTGGACTGTAGAGCGACGATCTCGTTTCGTGTAGTTCGGCGTTCAATCCCCGACCGTCCAAGTGGTTGGGCACCATTCCTTCCCCCCGTCCCATCCCAAATCCTTATCCTGACCCCTTCCATGTGCTATATAGTCGTAATGGCTTGGGGCTTTCCCCTGATTACTCCCTCCCTCCTCACTTCATTGCTTTAGCTGATTCCATTTGTCCACTTCTCTGATGACAAAAATATCTATATCTGTGGCTTATTCTGGTTCTTTGTTTCCCCTGAGTTCCCTAGTACCATCAATGTCAACAAATCTGTCCTCCATGTCTATCACCTGATAATTGTTTATGTCGTGATCATATCTCTCCCCCGATTTCTCTCTCTCTCTCTTCCCGTTCAGAGAGTTCTCTTTTCCGGTTCTCTCTTAAGATGCTTCGATAAATAGTTTTCTGGATGTAAGTAATGTGTACTCTTCAACAGAAGTGTATATATAAGATGAACTAGATATAACAGAGTGCCACAAGGGATTACTGTTGGGTCCAATTTTGTTCATTTTCATAGACTAAGTAACACCGATAATGACGAAACGTCGTCGTCCCTTCAATTTCTAGTGTGTGGTCTGGTCAACACCGATAATGAGTTATGCTATGCAGGAAAAAAACACAACTTGACGAAGAAGAGCTGAAAATAAATTCCAACAAGTTTTAGAAGTGTATAGATAATATAGCGTTAAGATTTGCGTAGGTGCACAGTGCTTCTGATAGCCAACAGGCGGGGATCCCTGAGTTAAGACTTGTCGCCTTGCTAACACGAATACGTAAATACAGTCGTGACATGATCAATACATGCAAGATCTTTAGAGACATTGATTAATAACGTGTCCATTGATAGACAGTCAAGTATAAACAGAAGGAGATGGGGGAAGGGGGGGTGGGGTTAGATATCAAGATGGGATGTAAGGGATTCCTCGATAGTAGGACGTAAGGAAATATTTCTGTAGCGAGAGTAAGATGTTTGGAAACATTTCCTGGGCGGGAGAAGGCTGTAAGGAAACATTTCCTGGGCGGGAGAAGGCTGTAAGGAAACATTTCCTGGGCGGGAGAAGGCTGTAAGGAAACATTTCCTGGGCGGGAGAAGGCTGTAAGGAAACATTTCCTGGGCGGGAGAAGGCTGTAAGGAAACATTTCCTGGGCGGGAGAGTATGATGTAAGGAAACATTTCCTCAGCAGCAGGAGGAGGAACGACTAGTTTAGGCTTACTTCATACAGTTCCGTAAGAGTTTATAAGAAGCATGATTTCAGGTAAGAAATATCTACATCAGGCTACTGAGAGTGACAAGCTGAAGCTGAAGCTCGATCCTGCAGTTAGGTGAGTACATACCCAAGTGTCTTCCAATTAGGAAGACAAATATTAATATTACAACAGAATATCAATTATTGTTTAAATAATACTAACAGTTGACCTGTTTCCAGATGTTGGGTATTAGCATGCATAGGGGTACAGGGCTACTACTGAATGCATCAATGACTTTCTTTAGTTAATGCCCATTATGTAAGTTAAGTAAATGTACTATTTAATTTACATTAAGGGCACTATTTTAAGAAAATCAGTCATGTTTACCCCGATGACCTTTGAATATATGCGTGGCTAGTAGTCTATCCGGCGCCTACTGCTATGCGGCACGCAAATGGAAACAGATCAATGAAAATTATCGTCGATTACAAAGCCTGAC